TATTAATTCTTCCTTTTTTTTTTTTAATATTTTATCGGAGAGTCGTATCTGTCTTTATCTGTCTTTGTGTTTACGTTTTTTTTGTTCAGCGCTAGTTGTACATTTAACTGGTTCAAAACTTACTTTGATTATATTTTTTTTTCCTTACTTTAAGCATCAATGTACTCAACTTACCGGTCTGTTGTTTAGGTCATTTTTTTTCACCAATTCCTAATGTTTTTACATCTTTGAGAATCGTAGTTGACGCACCCATTTTTTTTCTCAATGTAAGGGAAGTATTTGCAAGTAAGCATTTATCAAAGGGTGTGATCAACCAATGGCTGACGCAGCTCAAATCGAGGCTTCGCTATTATGTGATTTATGAATTCAAAATACATGGGGGTTCCCCACCGTTGTTTACTTCACCCAAGCGTAAATACAAAAGTCTACTGAATATTTCAATAATTATTTCAAAATGAAAAACGTCAAATATTCTAAGACTAATGCAAACACTTCAGGTTTTAATGTTCGTATTTCAGTAAGAAACAAATCTCTCATCCAAGCACTGCTTACTGCAGATCAATAACAATAACCAATGGCTGACACAGCTTGAATCGAGGCTATGCTATTAATAATGACGAGAGGTAATCTAATTAACATAATTTTGTGTTTTTGGGAGGAGTGGCTAGTGAAAAAAGTGTAGCTAAATAATATCGGGAAAAAGTTGACTCAATTTATTCTTTCATTATTTACATTAAGATATTTCCATTCGTACATTGCACGATAAAAAATGCGAGGTAATCACCTTTCCTTACACTGTAAGCTGTCTTGGACTTTAGCGCAAATTTCTTTAGAAAGCCTTGTTGTTTGAACAAAATATACATATTACTTTTATGTTTTCGCGATTTTCTCGCTTTCGAAAATTCTGATTTTAAATCAATCAGAAAGCACCATTGAACAAGAGATGGGGATGCACACCTTCTACATCAACTCATCTTTTCAGTTTTCAATTCCCACGTCCATCCAAGAACGTAAGCGTTTGATTCATTCATCACGTACCATGGAATTATCGAATATTTCATAATACAGGGAAATGCCTTTAAATGATGGCGAACGTTTAACGGCAAAAAAAGCACTTTGTTGAACCAATCAGCACGCTTGTAAGGAGGAACATAAATTTTTATTCAGCGTGATATAAGGTGTAAGTTTGGTGTAGTTTCCATACATGATTTCACAAGGTCCCCATCGCCCAAATATAAATCACGTTTTTTAATGTATTTTTCTTAAATCTCGAGAGAAAAACGCGAGAACAATGGGCAAACGCTTTTGTTGCGATTCTGACTATATGGACACAAGGCATGAAGCACGCGAGTATACGTACTTAGAGAACAAACTTTTTTTTAAATTGCAAGRRTATCAAGTTTTAAACATTGAGAATACGTACAACTACAAATTTTTTTTTTTTGATTTATGATGAATGAGGGTTCCCTTAAAGTTTCAGTGAGATCCTTGTTTTTTTTAGATCACTCAGAACATTGTTAAAAACGTTTTATTATAATATTAACCTAATATTTTTTTTTGGATCTATTTCTCTACATATCTACTTGACATGACTTCAGGTGGATCAAATTTTTTTTTATCTAACACGATAGTTTGCTGTTATACGATATTCCAAACACGTTGCTTGTATTTTTTTTTGCAGAAATAATGATCCTTTTCGCTCATATTTCAAGTATACATCAAATATATTTTTTTTATTTTATATATCAATCATTGGCAATATTTTTTTCAGAAAGTACAAGTGCTAGGCAACTTTAAAAAAAATATTGTTGATGATATTCCATAATTTCTTGGAATATGAGCGAAATAATTATAATTGTGTGTATTAAAAATATTACTAAATATATAGCAAAGCGATCACAGCTCAAAGAAACTGACATAAGTGTAATGTCATAAACTTTTACACATACGCAGGGCCATCTTGTTTTTTTTACGGCGTTCCTTTACATCAAAGCAAGACAAAAAGCCTGCGGTGATGCTGGTTTTTTTTTATTGAAAGCTTAACGTCGTGAAACAACAGACCATTTGGTAGCGCAGGCTAATTTTTTTTAACTAATAATAACTAATCCCATTAATGGGATATTTCAAAAACATTGAGAACTTTTTTTTGTCAGGATATTACATATATTATATCACATACAGCTATTTGCAATAATTCTGTTTTTTTTACACTAATATTCATATATATCAAAGTAGCCTTAGAAATTATGGGATACCAATTTTTTTTTTTTGTTGAGAAAGTACTCATTCTGGGCAACTCAAAAAATATATCAGTCATTTTTTTTTATAATATTAAAGGTCAGTTTGATATATATGAAATATGTCAGAGGGGGTCAGTTTTTTTTCAAACAGCTGTATATTATATATATATATAAAAAATAAAATATTCTAAATACTTTTTTTTCATAAGTAAAATTGGGGCCGTAAAAACTGTTGTGACGAAAAACGATTTTTATTTTTTTTGAATCGAATTTTATTGCGCAATATAGTATTTGGGGCTGCATTGTCTGTTTGTTTTTTTTGATTGCAGTATTATAAATCATACCAGAATGGTTTTTACACAGGACTAAATATTTTTTTTTTATGGTATTGTCATAATCATTGTTAGATAACATACCGTGCACAGGGTAAACAGGTCGAAAAACTAAGATCGTTAAGCGAACAGTAAACCCAGTTTTCAACGAGCCATTTGTCTTTCAAATGAAAGAAGAAGAGTTAACCTACTCCAGCGTTGTTTGTGATGTCTTTTATGGCGATTTTAAACTCAAAACAGACAAGATTGGCCATGTTAACCTTGGTACTGGCCAGGAATCTTTTGGAAGCGAGATTAGACATTGAAATGACATGATGTCATCTCCTGAGAAACAATTTTTTTTATGTCATAGCTTAGGCTCGTGAAAAAGACAGAATGAGACAGTTTTTTTCTTTTTTTTTTTCTATTGAAATCGATCATTAAAAACTAAGGATTTTGACTGTTCTGATCATACTATATCATATGTGTTCATATGTGTTAAGACGATTGTGTTTTCTAACCTGCCAAAGTGCTTGAATCCACAAATTTGGAACGAAGCACTCCATCCTTTATTTGATATTATAGGGAAATGTTTTTTTTTGACGACGTATCCTTAGAGGAAAAATTACGCACCTACCAGAGCGCGCGTATTTTTTTTTCTATTGTATTCATGCAACTTTCCACATTACTGTTCCCAGCATCATCTTGAATTTTTTTTTAACCTTTGCATCAAAGCGAGCTTGCAATGATAGATACCTCTGAATAATTGTTTTTTTTGTGATTATAAGGTGATCTATCACTACAGGCTCAACTACTTTCTAGTMTTGATTTTTTTTMGTGGCTACCTTTCAAGATGACGCTTGGAACTACAAAATGGATAATTGTGATTTTTTTTGTTCAGAAAGGGAATTAGAATGGCTTTCATACTTGTCTAATTCTCTGATAATTTTTTTTTATAGCATCGTTCTTTGTAATATATTACATTACATTGTTATCAATTGTATTTTTTTTTTATTGTTGTATGAATGTATCAAAATACAAGAACACAATGCGATGCATAAATTTTTTTTTTTACCGAACAACCCTCAAGTAAACCGACCCCTTTTTCGAGCTGTGGAATTAATTTTTTTTTATCAAATCTATAAAATAAAGTAGTCATGATATTGTAAACATGCCTTTATTTTTTTTTTACAAAATATAATTGTACAATCATACATCATACATCGTGCATGTTGTCATTATTTTTTTT